CCTCTCGTGATCTATTATAAACAAGAATCTCTTTAAATCTTCGCAAAATATGTCTCAACCACCTAAATTTTTCTTCGACTAATTTTACCTCATATCATATATACAAAGAGTTTAGATTCATATGTTTATCCCATGCCTGACATATTCACATAACTCTTCCTTAACAACACTTGTAGTTGGCAATTTGCAAGTAGTAGCCTTCCCAAAATGATCCTCATTTTTGCAAGGTTCATTTTTTTTTCATATATTTTGTAATAGTTTTTGTATTTCACCCTCCTCCAAATGTTAAAGAGCCATGGCTCACTTTTCTCGTAAGAGAGATATACTCGATTTTATGATGTCCTTGGAGCCTAGAAACCTATGGAGGATGAGCAATGACGAGTTATACACTTTATCAAAGCGATAGATTAAAAATAACTTCAACCTAAATACTAAAGTAGTAAAACTTTGCTTTTACTACTTGAGATAAACCTTGACATCGTATTTTTTAGTTATTTCATAATTCAACAACACAGTACATAATCACTACTCTAATTTATGGGTCATTGAATTATTAATATTGGTTCCATTTTTTTTTTTTATAATTACAAATACATTGTACTAAAAAAATGAGAAAATATATTTGGTCACAATATCCAAAATAAAGAGAGAGAGAGAGAGAGAAAAGGAAAAAGATAAAGATAAATAATAAAACATACGAAAATGGAAAATTGGATGACGCAAACTTTCACAGTAACGCCGAAGCGTACGAATGCGTGCGGTACTGCTTCACCTTCAAAATTTGAGATGACTCGTTACTTAGCCCCTCTCTCTCTCCACTTCCACAAATTTCTTGAAATGTTTTGTATGTAGTTCATCCGGTTCTCCCCCAAAATTTTAATTAGTTGAAATTACTGGTGTTTCTTTTTTGCTTAACAATTTTTCTGTTATCACTCTCTCTCTCTCTGTGTACGAGGCTGTTGGTAAGTTTCTAGTACTCCGTTTACTTTTTTGGTTTGCTACATAGTTTACTTTAATAGATTTCTTTTTTGGTGTTTCTTGAGTTTTAGAATGATGTTAATTGCTGGGACTTGGGTTTTTCACATTTTTTAGCCTGAATTTGGAGAAATCATTGTTTTGAAAATTTACTTGGAGTTCGCAGTTTTAATTAGTTGAATCTCGATGGTAAGAAAATTTTGCTTATGATCGTCATATTATTTTATCTGATTATTAAAATTTTGCTCATAGTTGTAAATAAAAATTCTAATATAATTTTTTGTTATTAATAACATGTTCCTTAAGCTTGAATTTGACGGATTAGTGGGCAAATTGTGAAAATTTTAATTTTTCTTAAACTGGAAAAGATAAAAATGAAACGTTTCTTGAGGCAAACCCAACCCCCCCCCCCCTATTTTCTCTCGGGTGGGGGAGTTGGGGAAATGGCTACGTGTAATGATTATGCTTCATATTATTATACCACTTAATTTCCATGCACCTATTTACTTGATCGCGCACATTTTTGGAGCACCTCTCGCATAGGAACAAGTCTATTTTGAAAGAAATGGGATGTGATCCTTCTTAAGGAAGATACTACATAACGAATCAAAATTTGATTGATTTTTTACAGTAAAGAATCCACCTCTTGCAGCCAGGGTGCAACATTTGTCTTCAAAGATGTAAGGGGGTGGTGTGGAATAAGAATTTTTATGATTGTTTGGTGAAACCATATTTTTCTAAAGTCGTGGTTAAGTTCTAAAACTCTTGTTAGAGGGAAGTATGTGCTTTCTTTAATTATGGGGCTGGCATCCTGTGGTCTGCATGTATAACCAACTGGAAGTTGGACCAGAATAGAGCTTTCCATTAGAGCATTTGTTTTTTTTAAATAATAATAATATGGGATTGTCAAATTAATGCAATTTTGAAACGAACTTGGAAAAATTTGCCATGTAATATTTGATTGAATTCAAGTTATAAACACTTTCCACCCCATATGAAAATAATGGTCAGATTCGGGTTCAATTGTGCCCCTATAGGAAGTAGGAATTTCTAGCAATTTATTGATATCCTTGAACTTCATTTTTGTAACAACTTGCTATATGGTTTCAGAAGAACATTTTGTTTACTCTATTGTTGGTGATTTCTTTAAGTAATGCACATTTAAACGATTACACTGTGGAAACATTAGGAAAAATGGCTGGACAAGTTGTTTCAAATCGACCTACAGCATTATTTGACTTCGAGCTTGTTGAAGGTGAATCTGGTGACAGTACTATCATTGCTTCGTCTAACCAGATTAACCCATGGATCGACCCAGCAACAATTAAATTGAGGCACAGGATTGGAAGAGGGCCTTTCGGTGATGTTTGGTTGGCGACTCATCATAGCATGACTGAAGACTACGAGGAGTATCATGAAGTGGCCATTAAGATGTTACATCCCATAAAAGAAGATAACATTAGAAATGTTTTGAATAAGTTGGATAATTTTCTTTCCAAGTGTCAAGGATTAGAAAACATTTGTTGGCTGCATGGACTTTCCATTATTAGTAAGAAAGTGAGTTCTCTGTTCAAAGTTTTGTTTCTAATGTTGAAACTTTATTAGGTTACCAAATATCTCAAGCAAGGGAAAAAGATAAGATAACTGCTCCATGTTTGTTTCTTCTAGATTTGCATTGTTATGAAATTTTACGAGGGCTCGGTTGGGGATAAAATGGCTCGATACAAAGGGGGAAAATTGCCACTGAGTGATGTTTTGAGGTGATTTTGGCTCATCTTATATTTTGTGGGCTTCATTTTAGTAAAAAGTTTTTATTGCATTGGAAGCACACATTCTTCACATTCTTTAATTATGGTTTTCTACAGGTACGGAGCAGATCTGGCTCAAGGAATAATGGATCTGCATGCAAAAGACATCTTTATTCTCAACCTTAAACCTTTTAATTTCCTTTTGAACGAGAATGACAGGGCAGTCCTTGGGGACTTTGGAATACCTTATGTGTTTCTTGGGGTTGCATTAACAAATACAGAGATGACTCGAAGACTTGGTACTCCCAACTACATGGGTCCTGAACAATGGGAACCAGAAATAAGAGGTCCAATATCATTCGAGACTGATTCGTGGGGATTTGGTTGCAGCATTGTGGAGATGTTGACTGGCATTCTTCCTTGGAGTGGTAAATCAGTCGATGAAATGTACAAGTTGGTTGTAAAGAAGGAAGAAAAGCCACATATTCCTAGTGGCCTCCCTCCAGCTGTCGAAAATGTCCTTATTGGTTGTTTTGAGTATGACTTCAGGAGTCGCCCTATAATGGCAGATATATTACATGCATTTAAGAGGTATCGATTTAATTCTTTTATTTTTTATTTTTTTGGGCTATGTTGAGAATTTTTTTCTGAAGTTATGAAGATGGGGGATCTAAAGCACTTGCTTACTCAAATGCAGTATGGGAACATTTTCGTGTAAATCTTTTTCTATGAGAACCTTTTAAAGCATGCACATTTTACCAACTGTGGTTATAAGGATCTTTTGATTTCACATGTAAATACTAGTGGCATTCCCCTTGAACAATATACTGCATCTGCCTTGGGGTCCAAATGACAATGCCGTTTCACTTAACTTGCAGTTTTTTGAAAATTTTTGATTCTCCGTCCTTGATTGGTCCTTGAATGATCTGCGTAGAAGGAATGGATCTATGTAGCTGACTCCAAATATGTATGAGATACTGTTGTATTGAGATTAGCATGTGTACAATTATGGAAATGATGGTTTCCTCTGAATTTGTTTATCAATCAAAATTAAAGAGTTCAAATAAGTTATTTAGTAATGATGTGTATAATCACAAGGCATACCATTGCAATTCCTTATTTAGGAGCACATTTGCTCTGCTTCTGGGTAGGTTCCTGATACTGGAGTGTATTAGCATTCTTTTGGAAGGGTTTCTGGCTTGAAGAGGCAAATGCATTTATTTCTAGCTTACTTTTATTATGTTTGCAGTTCGCAAAATGCAGTTTACCAGGATGGAGGCTGGATGGGTCCTGGAAGTAGAATGATTAGGGAGAAACCAGGTGGCAGTGGTTATACCGAGTGGTTCCTTGCTAAGGACCACCTCCAAGTGGGTGACATGGTGCGATCTAGGAAGTCACGGGGCTCTTGCAACCCTGAAAACATGGATGTCCCGGAGGGGACTGTAGTTGGTCTGGAACGTGATACCGATCAGGACGGATTTGTGTTAGTGAGGGTACATGGTATTCACGATCCGATAAGAGTTCATGTTTCCACATTAGAGCGTGTCACATTTGGATTGGCTGCTGGAGATTGGGTTCGTTTGAAGACAGAAGACAGAAAGCATTCGCCTGTGGGCGTAATTCATTCAATCACCCGTGATGGAACTGTCGCTGTTGCAGTTATAGGACTGGAGACTCTTTGGATGGGCAACTACTCAGAGTTCCAGATGGCTAAACCTTACTGTGTAGGGCAGTTCATAAGGCTGAAATCAAATGTATTTAGTCCTCGATTTGACTGGCCTCGAAAAAGAGGTGGCGAGTGGGCAACTGGAAGAATTTGTCAGGTGCTACCAAACGGCTGCCTTGCTGTAAAGTTCCCAGGAAGATTAACATTTAGCGATGAAACCAGCAGTTTCTTGGCTGATCCAGCTGAAGTGGAACTAGTATCGTTCAACACTTGCCCTGGAATGGTGAAGAAGTATCAACATCTCGAGGATTTTCACTGGACCGTCAGGCCACTATTGATTGCATTGGGGCTATTTACGTCCATGAAGTTTGGTCTTTTTGTTGGGAGGAAAATTGGGAGATCAAAGAATAAGAAGGGACCGAATCATGCCGTCCAAAATGGTCAAAACGCAGATGGCTCGACTGCTGGCAACACTGCGTGGCGTCCTCCAAAAGTGACAAATATTTTCAGATAAGGTGTGCATCACAGGTAACTCCAGTCATGTAATGCTTGTAAACTTGCGGTAATTCCTGCTAAAGATCATCAAGTAGCTTCTCGCAGGTTGGGAAAACCAGGATTCTTATCTTAGGTATTGTTTCAGGTACTGAATCCAGGCACTGGGAGTTTGTTACTCTAAATAGATGGTTCTTTGTTTTATGAATATACTGTGAAATTCATGTATATGTTCAATTATCTGTACTTTGTTTGGCTGTTGGGTCCTAGTTTGTTGGCTTCACATTTATTGAATATGGTATTATCATATAATCTGCGTGTTCTGTAGCTTTAACACAGTATGATTTTTTTCCCCTGGCAATGTTGTGGAGAATTTCAAACCGAGCTATGTACCTGTCCGCCTTGTTCTACCGACAATGTCTATGGATCACTGGTCGAATCACAATGTTAGTGAACATACACGACAAAAGCCAACATAGCTTTTATTTTTGAAGTCAAATTACATGAATTTAAATTTGTCATCTTGTTAGATTCAAATTATATTTACAATACAAAGTTTAAGCAATTTACTCGTCAGATTAGCATTGCTGTCTCTTATTGTTGTATGCTTCTTGTTTTGGAAACTTGGTCCAAGATTATTTCGAAAGTCTCTTAAAGAATTTTTGAAGGACTTAAATTGATTTTTATTTATTTATTGCTCGATAAGATCTAGGGTAATTTAAAATTCTAATTATATATAATAATTGATACAGTTGACATTGAAATGAGAAGTTTTTATTCTTACAGATTGTTTAGAAATAAAGATGAATTCGAAAAAAAAAAAAAAAAAAAAAAGAAGAATATATGAAAACACCATGAGATATAATAAAACTTCTCCAAGAAAAGTGGATGAAATTGCCAGCAGTTTAAATATATTGATTTACATTTAAATTTAAATAAACATGTGTGCCCTTTCCTTTAAAAAAAAAAAAAAAAGGCCCTTGTACGAGACATGAAAATGAGTAGCACTCATTATGCTCCCAGGTCTCAAGTAAATATGGACATGATGGACTTCTACTATTTAAGATCGACTACATAAATTCAATTTTCAGGTTGCACTTAACATACACTGCATCTGATGAAAGGCAAATCGACAATTGACAACTGCAACATATAATGTTCTCCCCCGTCTAACTTATTCTATTCAAGAAAATTCCATTATATCCATGCAAGACATGTTTGAGATACAAATGTAGATGAAGAAAAATTATTACTCATGAGTCTTGACCGGATTCTAAAGATTGATTATTATAAGCAGCGAGGAAGCACTGGGAAGACAATCGAAATCAAATATTACTTGATATGAGAATGAAATTGAAGAGCCAAGCATAGGCATATTTTAATAGGATTTTATTAGCGTCCATGAATGATAAGTCATAGATTGAACTGCCGAATCGGAAAAATTGGATGCTATCAAATGTTGGTTTCTTTGTATAGAACATAAACAGAAAAACAGTTTGAAGAATTGTATACATGGGATAGTGAAGTGATAGGGAAAAATATTACACCATATTACAACTCTCTACAACAAGGATTCATTTATCACATTCATTTTATGGTGATCAAGGATACAGTAAATGTAGACCTGCTAGATTTACAAAACTCAATACAATATTATCAATTTGAAACTTCATTTTATACAGTTACATTAGAAGGGGGTTCACAATCACCTTTCTCAAGCGATTTTTTCAATTTAAGAGCACAAAGAATAATTGAATTCACCTGTTTTCTCAATACGCCATTGTCGACTAAGAAGGTCATCAGTGTCGTCCTCAGCTCCTCGTCTACTGAGCTCATGTTATAATCCAGATTAGTATCTCCATTAAAAGTTGAAGATGAGTAATCAGCAACCTCAGCTAAATGCTGCACCTGAAAAATTTACAGAGCAAGATAGTCAACTTGTGCTGGAAAGACGTATCAAGAGAACAAAGACTAGAAAAAAAGAACTTGTATTTCAGAGGATACAAAAAGTTCGAGACAAGTTCAATTGAAGAATCTCATGCAGTATACAGCACAAATATTATAGTTTCCTTCCATACAAAAGCAGAGAAACAGATCCAGCTGAATTTATGCCTCAAGAGAATAATTTACAGAAATATAGTCAGCAAGTCCACTTGCTCAATCATTTACAATTTCCCATCTCTTTAATGAAATGGTCGTTAAAGGAGATCTTTTAAACTTCCACCTTACTAAACATGCCATTATTATCTTTGGCGGCTGCCAAAAGAGATATTTAAATCCAAACCCACCTTTTAATAATAAATATTGAATTCAACAATAAAAGAGGGCATTCAACTCATTCGTGACCAAGGGGATACTAATGGTTCAAAATAGAGGTACAGGCGCAACTTTCAGTTGAACTGTTTGCCCCTCCTTCAGAAGTTCTGGCATTTCTTCTATGCCAAATGCTCCAATCAAATCATATTTTTTTAATGATACACAGAAAATATGAGGGATTTTAATCTTAAAGATACTTTAGGGTCAACGCATGAGAGATTGAGATATCAATAACATAAATAATAGAAAAATCAACAGTGCAAGACTCCAGGAGTACCTCCTCAATTAGAAGGCCAATATGATTGTCAGATGCGGCTATAACATCCAAAGCATTCGAACCTAATGGATTATCCACAACTAGATTATTTTCTGTTCTATGTAATACGTTGACCTGGGATTCCTGTAGCTTATCGTGAAGAATCTTGCACTTGTGTAGCAGCTTCCTCCAAGAGGTTCTTGCTTGCTTAGTTCTCTCTCTCTCTCTTTGAAGGAGTTGCTGAATTTGCACCAGTTTCAAAAAACAAGATTACTTTCTCGAGTGACATACTCATGCATATGTTTCATTGAATCCATTCAATAAAAATGAAAAAGATAATATCTGCACCCATGTATACACATTGATATAATAGAATTAATGAATTAATAAGTTGAATAATGGTCTTTGGTTTGCGCGTCAGTGTTATCTTCCCCTCAGAAGAGTTTTTACACTGTTGGCACAATTAACACGAATACAGGAACTATAATGACAGATTTGAAAAAAAAATATTTATGTGAATAACAATACAAGAAGCTCAGTAAGCAGAACGAATATTGCATCGTCAGCAGTTATAAAATCTTCAACTAAAAAGAATTGTGGTTAGACAGTCAACAAGAAGAATTACATGCTTTAAAATAGCAGCTAAACTATACCTCGGCCTCAGATTTTTCACTGAGTGATTGACTAAGTTGCTGCTTCAATTCTACATGAGAACTTCTTAGAGATTTAACTTCTTTTACAAGAACTTTAATATCAGCTTTCGACTTCACTTCCAGGTCTTGATGTTGCTTCAACAATTCTTCAAGCTGTTGTTTTGTGGGATCCAAGTCCTCCTGCAATGCATCTTTCTCTTGATTAACAGATGCTTTTGTTGATACTGTATCTAGCTTTTGGCCCTGGAAAGAGTTCCACATTGATCTGAAATCAATTGAACTGAAATAATATTATAATGATACAAGATGTGCATTAGATAACATGTGAATAAAAGCACATATAGATAACCTGTTGAGAATTCAACTTCAATTCCATTTCTATTGACCTCCGCCGAAGTTCTTCCATATCCCATTGCATTTGGGTAACTCTTTCCCTTTCAATCAAGATAGCTTGTTCAAGATTCTCTTTGCTTTTCAGTTTAGTAGTTCCAAGGTCAACTTCCAAATCATTCACCTGGAAACATAGACATACTTAAAAGGCCAGCATCATATTTAGCTGCAACTATAAGAGAATGAGGAATCATACCAGTATTTGGTAGCAAAGTCTTTTTTTTTTTTGAGCCAGACTGAACAGTCCGGTCCAGATTTAATATGCTTGACCAGTTTAAATTATAATTTCAACTTTGCCAAACATGTTCTAAGAATGATTACCACTAGATACCCAAACATTTTTAAGTTTGATAAGTAAATCTCTATACAAAATGGGACAAAATCCGTGTACAGAATCAGTTTGCTTACACACAATCATAAACTTTAACTAAATTTACTTATCATTTGGCTGAAATCCAAGAAATTACAGCCCAAAATATAACCAAAATTAGGAGCTTATAACTTATTTTCTTTTTCCGGCAACGAAATGTTTGATAAAAATAGATGGAATGTGTGGTTGAAAAGATCATAAAAGTTATGGGTCCCATGAACTTTGTGGTCGAAAATGAGTTTTAAGAAATGGAGTGTCAAACAGGGACTAAATCTTTACTTGCATATAACCAACTAATCTTTAAGTCCGCCTATCTTCCCCCCATGTGGGGCATCTTTCCAGAGCAGAATCACAGTTAAAGCTCACTCCTACAAGTGACTTGTTTGCCTTAGCACATTGTAGAAGAAGAGAATTTAATTTGTCAACAAAAGGAAGAGCAAAGCACCATTATATTTTCCTTCCCCATGCCTTGCATCTACATTTTCCAAACTGCAATTTCAATTTGTGTTTCCTACACTTACTTACATTCTACACTAAAAGTTATCTCATCATTTCTTTGGGCCATTTCTTCACTTTCTTCTAATTCTTTTCTTGGTTAAGATAAAATACTTTATATGATTTGCTTTGTTTTTCTCACTTCAAGCTTTATGCGATCCAGAAATATATCAATTCTCAAAAATATTCACGAGCATGAGTTTGAAACAACTATGAAATGAAATAGCACCAAGATAATAGTTACAGTGTTTCACTACCTTTGAAGCGAGATAGTCTTTCACAGCAATTTCTTGATTTAACCTTGATATGAGATCCTCCATGTCAGTTTTAGCTGCAACCAGCCTCTGTTGCATTAGCATAACTACTCTGTTCATTTTCTGGCGCTGATTTGTTGGGAGAACCAGTTGTACATCATCCGGAAGCTGAAAATCTGTATTTCCAATAGTTCCATTGTTTCTCAAGGCCTCAGCCCCACTGTAATTGTCAACAGGCACATATCCATTTGAACTAGCAATTCCTAAATTTGACAATTCGCTGCCCCTCTGAGAATTCCTGTCACTTCCAATACTCTCACTAGAGACCTTTCGAGTATGAAGACCTACTGAACCTTGCTCTGTCTCTGAAAGAAGTTCCAACATATCCCCAGTATGATGAGAGATTTTAGAAGAACCACCATTGCTAGTATTGTTCACCACATTATTATGAATCTCTTTGGCATACAGTTTGTGTTTCGGAAAACCTTCAAGTTGCTCTAAAATAGCCTGTCCCATAGACAAGCTCTCATCTATATTTGACATGCCATACTTGACAAACTTATCTATCGGACTTGTTAAGTCGTCATCCAGTGATAGATCCTCTGTCCCAACTTCAGAATTATCCTTTCCAAGGTTCGGAGTTCCAAACTCAGATGTCTCATAAGCAGTATCACTACCATAATCTGATGTCAGTGAACTACTATCTACCACAGACAAGCTCGAATTTGGATGAAACTGAAGTGATGGGACCGCAGAAGTCACTGTAATATTTGAACCTGGACTGTTCTTCCCATCATCTTGGAATGCTGAAAAAGAATCGTAACAAGGAGATTTAGAGAAGGACAAAATGAATGTCAATAAAATGACAAAACTCGAGATCAACTAGTGTTAACTGAAGTCAGATGACCAATTTACATAGTATGGAATGATTTCTAGTGCAAAACATGAGCATTGTTAACACACATACATGATCTAGCTGAAGCTTCTAGTTCAAGGAAGGATGCAACTGCAGCGCTTCTTGATAAGTTAATGTCTGATAGCAATCTTGCCATCCATTCCTCCAAAGAATTCCGTCTCTGCAACAGATGTAAGCCTTTTGATAACCTCATGTCTCAGCAAAAATCAGAGAAGCAGAACTATGATAACAGGTATGCAATCTCTATGTATCAGATGAAATGCAAAGTTCACCAATTGATAAAAGAAAGAAAATAAGCCAAATTGTAGTTCTCATAAGTTCCACTCAAGTTAATAATCTACAGGGATCAGATTACATATCAACACAATTGTCGATGCCCATAATCAAGCTGACAGTGAGATAGCGTTGGATGTAGAATTTTCATTATTAATGTTCAGAAAAAACTTTTTAAAGAGAGATTATACCAGTAACCAAATACTACAATAACATCAAATATGAATAGTGTTAAATAATCTTTTTACCTCTTCCAACATTGCTCTAGTTTTCATTCGCGGGAGTCCCTTCGGGGGGACTGGTGGAAGGTTCTTCTGTGGAAATGCTCTTTTAAGCTGTAAGAGAAAACTTTCATAAGACAATGAACATGCTTGCACCGTCAATTGCAACAAACATATCAGTTTACATGTTTCCCTCCATATTGTATAAATGCAGAGTTAATGAAAAAGATTCGGATACTTACTGCAGCATGCAGCTTCAAGAAATCATTAAATCTTCTTAATACAGTCCTTGTGGTTGTAATTCCCGCCGGTGATTGTATGCCGACCACTACCCTGTAAAACTGCCACTTAAGAATGTTAATATGGCGGGAACTATTTCATAAAGTGAAGTAAATCTACAAGAAGATGAAAGAAGGTTTAGTAATAACTTAAAGTAGAGAGAAACAGATCCTCCCATGGATAGGGTCAGTGATTCTCATTATATAGTCAAAACAAAAAGCGGAAAAGACGAAATAATATTCACCCTCTCAAGTAACAGAAATGCTAGAAACCATCAACTTACAAAGTCTGTAGAACTTAAATTACTACTGAAATGGACTTCCTCAGGAAATCATCGAACTCATCAATGAAACCACACTTAATCCAATATAAGATTCACAATTCAGCTCCCACTCTCCAGGCAAATACTTCTCATTATATAGTCAAAACAAAAAGCGGAAAAGACGAAATAATATTCACCCTCTCAAGTAACAGAAATGCTAGAAACCATCAACTTACAAAGTCTGTAGAACTTAAATTACTACTGAAATGGACTTCCTCAGGAAATCATCGAACTCATCAATGAAACCACACTTAATCCAATATAAGATTCACAATTCAGCTCCCACTCTCCAGGCAAATACAAGTCCAAAACCAGGGTTCAGCACCTACCTGTATAACACTCTTTACAAAAGACCATTTTTCCATCCAAGATAATCGAAAGCACATGATTAACAATTAAGACAGTGAAACTAACAACAATGCAAAAGCCCCTTATACGTATGCTTAGTAAGTACTTCTTCTACTCCTCATTTACACTTGCCATCTATTAGCTGTCCTCATGTCAGCTCATAAGAATAAAATAAGGGGAACATCACAAAGTGATATACTTTTAAAAAAATGATTGAATCAAGAAGCCAAATATTATCTCAGCTCCCAAGTCCTGTTCTCATATTGCAATTGGCATGAAATCAACCACTAGATTATCTCACTTCAAGCTCGTAAGGTACATAAAATAGAATATAAATAAGTATTTCAAACAGAGGCCTCCACTTTATACTCCCAAGTGAGTAGTCACGAAGACTGGTTAATTTCTGACTTATTACTGTGCCACATTAGAAATACGTATGAATCTATATGGAAATCATAGACAAAAGAAAAGAAGTGTAACTGACTGAGGATCAAAACTTCCAGAGACTCCAACTAAGGTAATACTTCTGGAAAAGCTCACTCTCCAGAGACGAGAATCATTTACATCAAGAGTTCTATACTTGGTGGTTAGAGCATATAGCCAATATGATGAAACGTATTGCCACAAAAGCATCTAAATACATCTTAAAATGCAGATATACTTGGTGGTTAGAGCATATAGACAATATGATGAAATATATTGCTGCAAAAAGCATCTAAATACATCTTAAAATGCAGATATAATGAACGCACTGAAGAATGCTCATACTACAGAGACTGTCAGACTGATATCATTTCCATTAAGTGTTCCATACTTAGTAATAAGGACCATAATGCCTACAGTGGTAAAATATGCCAAGAAAGTAGCTAACATCTACTGGAACCTACCACAGATATAGAAAATACATTCAATAAGATCAGGCTCACACGTACTCCCCCATGCTTTAAGCTAAGAAAGTCATTACAAGTCTTAGTTTTCTGTCAAATTATGATTCCAATCACACAATTAAAAGAGAAGATGATGCCGTATCGCAGTACACAGAATAAGAGGAACTTCTTATCCGTTCACTTCCACGGGCTGTCCATTTGGAAACAAAGTACATAAGAGCTGATTGATTAGTAGTAAAAAGAAATTCATGAACACTACTTCCATCTTTAATTTTTAGAATTGATTCATGTATAATAAAAACAATATTTAGGTGCCAAAGCAGGTTACTTAACATTCATAAACATTTAAATTACCACTATAGCATCTGAATCTCTAGACTTTGCCAGGACAACCCAGGATGGTACTATAACACAGTAACTCCAACCTGTGCGAGGATCATGAGGCCAAACAGTTTCCCTCCCTGCCTGTGTAGTATGTGTAAGATGTCAATACAAATAATGATCTTAATAGGAATATTGTTTGCGAACAGGTAAAAGAATCCCAGCATTGACTAAAAATGAAGTTAGCCTGCAAATGAATTAATCATTAACACAGAGCAATTTAATTTTCAACTCAGACAAATATTCGATAGAAATCTCAGTTAGTGATTAAACAGCCATGTCAGATTAAATAATGATAAGGCATAAAAAATTACGAATAAGTAAGCACAAACACCAGAATTGAAGTATTAACAAAATAGCAGCCCTGAAATTTTGAACTTGTAAATTCAGGACCCTCCTAATTAAGAATATGAACTCAAGTTTTTAATCAGATTTTCTTGACCCAATTTGCGGTCAAATTCAGAACTTCCAAGTTGAATAGTGAACTCAATTACCACGAATCAAAAAATCGGATTAAACTATCACAGAACTAAAGACTGGAATTTTTTTTCAATCTAAGTGTCCATAGTACTTGAATAAGGATCATACCAAAATATTTCACCTGAAATTGCAATACTTAGTTGATACTACCAAAAATCATTTTCTAAGTGGCATGAAAATTGAGGGTTTACACTCTTCAAGCTAAAACCTTGAAGATTAAAGAGCCGACCACACAGTATAAAGTTATCGATATAAATAGAAGCATGCTAAACATATCACAAAGAAGTCCAATTTCATCGGAAGCCCAAATGCATCCCGATATATCGATTGGCTATCAAACAAAAGCCAAATTCATTGAAATTCAAATGGAAACCTATCAATCAACAACAAAAATTAATCAAAAAACATACCCAGTGACGAGGGGGAGGGCTCCAATCCATACCCAAAGGCAGAGGAGAAGTTCCATCGTGCCTATGCCGCGGTGAGCTCATCTCCCCACCCCTAGATGCTCTATACTTCTCTTCAAAAACGATCACTGTATTATCAATTAGTTCATTTACCTATAGATAAATCTGTATACAACACAAATAAACAAAAAAATATGCACAATTCAGTACCGAGAGAGAGAGAGAGAGAAGGGTGCTCGTGAGAGATCGGTGATGAACACGTGGTGGTGGCGCGTGAAAGTAAAGGGGCGCGTGACCTGAGTCGGTCAAGTCCAAAACCAGGGTTCAGCACCTACCTGTATAACACTCTTTACAAAAGACCATTTTTCCATCCAAGATAATCGAAAGCACATGATTAACAATTAAGACAGTGAAACTAACAACAACGCAAAATCCCCTTATACGTATGCTTAGTAAGTACTTCTTCTACTCCTCATTTACACTTGCCATCTATTAGCTGTCCTCATGTCAGCTCATATAAGTCCAAAACCAGGGTTCAGCACCTACCTGTATAACACTCTTTACAAAAGACCATTTTTCCATCCAAGATAATCGAAAGCACATGATTAACAATTAAGACAGTGAAACTAACAACAATGCAAAAGCCCCTTATACGTATGCTTAGTAAGTACTTCTTCTACTCCTCATTTACACTTGCCATCTATTAGCTGTCCTCATGTCAGCTCATACAGAACTTCCGATTTTTCTTAAAGTCGTTTGCGATAAATAGCGATTCTAGTTCAAGAGTGGTGATATCTGGAGGAACCAGGATAGGAATGCACAGTCTTACCCAGCCGATTTGAACCACCGGCCTGGACTGTATTAATTAGATTCGGCTCGATCTATTAGCTGTCCTCATGTCAGCTCATAAGAATAAAATAAGGGGAACATCACAAAGTGATATACTTTTAAAAAAATGATTGAATCAAGAAGCCAAATATTATCTCAGCTCCCAAGTCCTGTTCTCATATTGCAATTGGCATGAAATCAACCACTAGATTATCTCACTTCAAGCTCGTAAGGTACATAAAATAGAATATAAATAAGTATTTCAAACAGAGGCCTCCACTTTATACTCCCAAGTGAGTAGTCACGACGACTGGTTAATTTCTGACTTATTACTGTGCCACATTAGAAATACGTATGAATCTATATGGAAATCATAGACAAAAGAAAAGAAGTGTAACTGACTGAGGATCAAAACTTCCAGAGACTCCAACTAAGGTAATACTTCTGGAAAAGCTCACTCTCCAGAGACGAGAATCATTTACATCAAGAGTTCTATACTTGGTGGTTAGAGCATATAGCCAATATGATGAAACGTATTGCCACAAAAGCATCTAAATACATCTTAAAATGCAGATATACTTGGTGGTTAGAGCATATAGACAATATGATGAAATATATTGCTGCAAAAAGCATCTAAATACATCTTAAAATGCAGATATAATGAACGCACTGAAGAATGCTCATACTACAGAGACTGTCAGACTGATATCATTTCCATTAAGTGTTCCATACTTAGTAATAAGGACCATAATGCCTACAGTGGTAAAATATGCCAAGAAAGTAGCTAACATCTACTGGAACCTACCACAGATATAGAAAATACATTCAATAAGATCAGGCTCACACGTACTCCCCCATGCTTTAAGCTAAGAAAGTCATTACAAGTCTTAGTTTTCTGTCAAATTATGATTCCAATCACACAATTAAAAGAGAAGATGATGCCGTATCGCAGTACACAGAATAAGAGGAACTTCTTATCCGTTCACTTCCACGGGCTGTCCATTTGGAAACAAAGTACATAAGAGCTGATTGATTAGTAGTAAAAAGAAATTCATGAACACTACTTCCATCTTTAATTTTTAGAATTGATTCATGTATAATAAAAACAATATTTAGGTGCCAAAGCAGGTTACTTAACATTCATAAACATTTAAATTACCACTATAGCATCTGAATCTCTAGACTTTGCCAGGACAACCCAGGATGGTACTATAACACAGTAACTCCAACCTGTGCGAGGATCATGAGGCCAAACAGTTTCCCTCCCTGCCTGTGTAGTATGTGTAAGATGTCAATACAAATAATGATCTTAATAGGAATATTGTTTGCGAACAGGTAAAAGAATCCCAGCATTGACTAAAAATGAAGTTAGCCTGCAAATGAATTAATCATTAACACAGAGCAATTTAATTTTCAACTCAGACAAATATTCGATAGAAATCTCAGTTAGTGATTAAACAGCCATGTCAGATTAAATAATGATAAGGCATAAAAAATTACGAATAAGTAAGCACAAACACCAGAATTGAAGTATTAACAAAATAGCAGCCCTGAAATTTTGAACTTGTAAATTCAGGACCCTCCTAATTAAGAATATGAACTCAAGTTTTTAATCAGATTTTCTTGACCCAATTTGCGGTCAAATTCAGAACTTCCAAGTTGAATAGTGAACTCAATTACCACGAATCAAAAAATCGGATTAAACTATCACAGAACTAAAGACTGGAATTTTTTTTCAATCTAAGTGTCCATAGTACTTGAATAAGGATCATACCAAAATATTTCACCTGAAATTGCAATACTTAGTTGATACTACCAAGAATCATTTTCTAAGTGGCATGAAAATTGAGGGTTTACACTCTTCAAGCTAAAACCTTGAAGATTAAAGAGCCGACCACACAGTATAAAGTTATCGATATAAATAGAAGCATGCTAAACATATCACAAAGAAGTCCAATTTCATCGGAAGCCCAAATGCATCCCGATATATCGATTGGCTATCAAACAAAAGCCAAATTCATTGAAATTCAAATGGAAACCTATCAATCAACAACAAAAATTAATCAAAAAACATACCCAGTGACGAGGGGGAGGGCTCCAATCCATACCCAAAGGCAGAGGAGAAGTTCCATCGTGCCTATGCCGCGGTGAGCTCATCTCCCCACCCCTAGATGCTCTATACTTCTCTTCAAAAACGATCACTGTATTATCAATTAGTTCATTTACCTATAGATAAATCTGTATACAACACAAATAAACAAAAAAATATGCACAATTCAGTACCGAGAGAGAGAGAGAGAGAAGGGTGCTCGTGAGAGATCGGTGATGAACACGTGGTGGTGGCGCGTGAAAGTAAAGGGGCGCGTGACCTGAGTCGGTGATTTCTGTCTTTTACTTGACTACAGCACCTATGTTATAGAACTTCCGATTTTTCTTAAAGTCGTTTGCGATAAATAGCGATTCTAGTTCAAGAGTGGTGATAACTGGAGGAACCAGGATAGGAATGCACAGTCTTACCCAGCCGATTTGAACCACCGGCCTGGACTGTATTAATTAGATTCGGCTCGAACAATAATCGGTCATCAATACAACAGAAGGGGAAATTTTTTAATACTTTCAGAATGTAAATATCACTACTTCGTATCTCTTTCTAGCCTATATTTGACTCATTTAAGGGTAGCAAATAGTTCAAATCACTCGAGGGCTCAACTCGACTCATGGGCCTTTCGGGCTCATATTGACACGAGCCATGAACCAAGCAGTTTGAATTTTTATTTATTCATTTAGTTTTTCACGACAGTCACTTAATGTGATTGTTTGGCCTAAGGTCGCCTTATCTATACACATCCCTTCCCCTTTATCGTGTTCTTCCATCTACGTTCAAGATTTAATATTCTTACAATCACCTATATTAGCTCTTTTATTGTGTAATTTTAAGTTTTATTCTTCTAAATTTACTTATTTTAGTTATTTTTATACCAAGTTTAGTATAAATTATATTATTTCTACATCTTTCTTTCTTCTATTAGTCCATATATTATTTCAAATGAATTATAACAGATTGTTGGAAACTGATAATTTCAACAAAACTTTTCAGTGCTTACTACGGTAAATGGTGAGAATTGTAGTAGACAGTAAATGCAGTCCTTATCATAATCATTGATATATACTTCTCAAGTTGTAACAGTAGGAATTTATGTAGCAACTTGAGTCATAGATTCGAGTTTTGATCTGATAAATGTCCCAATATTTGACGAGTATCATATTTAAGAGGCAAATCATGAACAATCAGATGTAATAAGAAGAATAATAGCCTCAGTTAACAAAACATGAATAACAGTTGATCTTGACATTTCAAAAATAAATAATTGAGATTAAGAGAGACAACACAGTAGTTGTGATGGTTTTTTATGGACGTACGAGCCATCAATGTAGCTGATTAGGTTTAGATCGTATAAGATGGATGTAAATTGAACTTTTCACGAAAAATAATTCATAGACATGAGGCGAGTAGAAAGCTGTGAGGCGACATTGAATAAGAGAGTCGAATAGAGGATCCGCAACTTGAGGAACAATTATAGCACAGGTGTCTACATTAGTAGTCACTGAACTTCCAAATTTCGAAAAATAATGGCATGTAGGTTTCTTAATGAATTATTAGGATCTAATAGTGGAGAAATACAAATTTTTGCAGGTACAATAGAAAAAGCAAAAATACCCGACCTCATTTTTTAAGTTAAATATATTTAATGATTCTTTCAATCAACAAGAACGGATCCGTTAGAGTATTGTTATTTATCATCATTAGTGTCAAGCACATGTTTAAGTAGAAATTATATGACATTAAATAATATATTTACTTAAATACAATGTCACATATTCTTTTAATTGAATATATCAAGTGCGACCAACTAAAATGGTGTTGGGTAGCATTATTTGACCCATATTACCTATGTCAATCCATTTTTTCTCTCAAAATCCCAATTTCACTTCTACATTTTCAATATGTTCTATCTAACCTTAAAATTTTCCACACATCGATCCCCTCAGTTGTCAAGATTCCAAAACCATTGTCGAGTGAAGCACTTAATGTTTTACATTCAATCTTTATGTTTATTCACTGACACTGATCACAGAACCTTAAACCTAATTGTATATTTATTGTTGTTTGTATGAAAATAATTTTTGTTTTTGCTGGTATCTTCATAAATGTTGACTTTTTTTATGGTTCTGGGAATCATTATTATTATTATTATTATTATTATTATTATTATTATTATTATTATTATCATTATTATTATTATTATTATTATTATTATTATTATTATTTTGAATAACAAACCCTAAGTTTTAAACATTAATGCTTTGTACCATGGACAAAATTATTGTAAACATTTTTTGTTGTATTTTTCATAAATGACATGTTTTTAATGTTTTGGGATCTTGTTTTATGTTTTCGTTAGCGAGAATAAGAGAATCCTAACATGCTAACCATAATTATTGTTTATGTAGGTTCGACTATTTAGGGGGAAAAAGGTAGCTGATGAAAATAGTAATTTATATGATCGCGACGACAATTTCCAACTCGATGACAATGCAACTGAGCTCATCAAGGTAAGGTTAATTCATGTCCTTGATGAAGAGTTGGAGATTCAAGGTGATTCAAATTCAATTGAGTCCTGTAGTCCATCCTTAAAAGAGCTGGAAATTGATTTTTCTTCTTGGGAAGAAAAGAAAACAATTTTAGGTTCCTAGCATTTTGTGCTGAAAAAGAAATTATGAATCCTATGTTAGAGGTTGGGAAGAGTTTCACAGATATTGAGGTTATTTGAAATGCTCTTAAACTCAAGAGTAAGTTTTATTTCTTTACGAAACTCAAAAGTGACGTAATTTTGAACAATATTTGTAAGTGCTTCAACAAGATAATCTTAAGAGGATTCGAAGAAATCTGTTTTGACTATGTTGATAGACATTCACATACCTTCATGAAATAGATTCGGGTTAGGAGAGACTAGACAAGAAAAGTGAAGGACCTTTGTGTTTCAGAATTTTAAAAATAGTTGGCCAAAAGCACTGCAATGGCACATGATTGTGAGGTAGAATGAAATGGAGGACCTTAGTATTTATTTTTTACCCATCTGGAGACTTTGTTGTGGATACCTAAAAAACAACTTATAGGAGGTGGAAGTTGTCAGCGTTCCATCACAACATATCTTCTATAGCATTGTATCACGTTCTACAGATTTCTTTGAATGCTAATGTAGGTTCCCACCTACAATATTTGTAGCATTCTTTAATTGTATTATTTACATTTTAATAGCATTTTCTTTTCGTTATGATTTTGGTTGTAATAACATTATGCAATTTTACATTTTTAATAACAATGTTTTCCATCATAATTTTAATAATTATAACATTTTTTGAATATAATGTATGTTATAAACTAGATAGAAAAAATTAGGGTTACATGGATATATAATCATTTAATATTTAATTTACAACACTTCTGTTGAATGACTAATTACGTAATATCTGCCTTGTTAAACATATTGTTTGAAAAAAAGTTAGTAGAATGAAAATATCAGATGAAAACAAACATATTGTGTACTAATTTCTTGAATGTGGGCATAGAAAATCATTTCGTGAATAAATCTAAATAAATTATCTTTCTAACTTTTTATTCAAATTGTTTTATGCGAGAATGTAGAAAATATAATGATGCATTATGTTTATTATTTTCAGTTTCTTAATCCCTTTCCTTAATACAAAGAAAATATTCAATCAAAATGTCAGTTGGTAAATCGTATTATAGAATATAACTTGTTTAAATTTTAAGATATTTTGTAAGAGTTTTAACTGACATTGTATTCTTAGCATTCTTTAATTCACATCTTAGTGTATCGTAGTTAAACAACTGTATATATATTTGGCTCCAACTATAAGTCAATTATAGCACGAAGAACTTTGATGACCATCCCACTATGCTTTATTAAAAGATTGAGATTTATGCTCGCTAACATTAACAAGACACGCCGTTTTGATTATATAATTTAAAACAATGCTAATAAATTAAAATTTAAACAAGTAGTCTAGCAAAATTTTGGTTGCAAATATTAAATAACATAACTCATTCTTCTAATAAATGTATCTATTAAATAAAAACAATATCAAACATTAATTTAGGTGAAGATTGACACTCACTTTATAGTTTCATTGTCTTGTTTCTCTTGTCCAGTCCTTGAATCATGCATCAATTATTTGATGTAGGATGTGCAAATTTCCAGTCTCTTCTTATACTCCTTTCTTTTGTATTTTATATATAACACGCAGTATTTTGATAGATGTTATGATGAACAGTTTGTAGCATGTATAGATGTTTGGGCCGTGCCCCTCACAAGGCTTGTCACGACCCCTTTTTGAATAGAATTATTCTAGATGTTCATACTTTCAAAGTTCATTTTTTTCCAGAAAAGTAGGTTAAGTTTTGTTAGTATAAATACTAAAAAAAATAATTTTGAAACAGTGTTTTGTGAAATAAGTAACTAAAATACAAATGTGTCGTTTCCAAATTAACATGCACATCAAGCAAAAGTCAACAATTGTAAATATTCTCTCGGACCTGCAAATATATAGGCAAACTTGAAGTTGTTACAATCTCACACTATAACATGACACTTAGCCCCTGTTTGGTTGGAATTAAAGGTTTTTAGTAAATATTGATAAAAGTTGATGAGACGTGTAATTGAAAATTTGTGAATTTCATAAAATATATGATTAAAATTGATTATTAAATTTGACTTAGATTAAAATTCGAATTTTAATTTCTATCAAACATGGGCTTGAAATATATAGGCAAATTTAGGGGTGGGCAAAACTCCCGAACCGAACTGAACCCGACGGTTCTTCTCAAATTAAATACCTGAACGGGTATTTGAATCAAGAACCGACGGGTACGGTTCGGTTCTGGTTCTAGGCCAAGACCCGAAAAATCGAATCCCCTTAATTTTTTTATTTTAAATAAGCAAAATTATTTTATTTTTTCTAAGTAAATTTGTTAACTAGTTAATTTAGTTCAAACCACAAAATATAATTTTTCTATTTCTAATTTTCAGTTTAAAATCAATTTAATCAAATTGACCTCAACATCTCTACTGTAGTATCGTTTCTACTAGAGAAAATCGAATTAAAACTCTACAACATCTCTCTTAATTATTTTGAGTTTACTATCTTTCTCTTCCTGTGATTTTAATAATCAAATTTATAAAGAATTTAGCAAAGAAAAACGTAAAAGATACATAAGATTGGACTACGTTATTTTGTAAGAGCTAATATTGAACATATCATTAATTAAATTAACGTAACTTTGTATATATTAAAAAATTTAATTATAATACGAAACTGAATGGAAACGAACCGGACTGAACCGAATTGAACCCGAACGATTCCATAATTAAATTTGGATCTGACGGTTCCACTTACTAAATACCGAAAATTTTCGGTTCGAACTTAATCAAACCAGACCATGTTCAGCCCTAAGCAAATTTGATGGAAGATATTATTTTAAAATATATATATATATTGGATTGTGTAAACGACCATTTTATATTGAAACATGTTTAACGTTTTTGTCTAAAAACTATTTGATTTTAAGGGGGCGTTTGTTTCTTATTTTTGTAAGAATAAGAATGAAAAATATAGTCGTTATAGGCCCCATACAAGATATATAAATTCAAATTTGGTGATTTGATATGATGGATAATGATCATATTTTTCATTTTAATGAAAAAAAAATAAGAAGCAAACATGAGCTAAATACCTTTTGCATAGGACGATATTGGTGCACACACATTTGGGGTGGACCCCGCAGGTAGCACATCTCAATATGGAAAAATATTACAATTTTCCGCCAAATCATCAATCTAATAATTAAAATAGAGCAACCCTAATCTCTATACATTATTGCTATGTCCGACACATTTTGAATTCAACTCATTTAGAGGGAGAGGGAGGTGGGGATGGCAATATTGTACGCGTTGGTGGCACGTGGATCTGTTGTTTTGGCGGAGTACAGCTCCACAACGACGACGGCAAACGCGATCGCCAGGCAAATCCTCGAAAAGATCCCTGGGAACAACGACACCAATGTTTCGTACTCTCAGGATCGGTATATTTTCCATGTCAAACGTACCGATGGACTCACCGTACTTTGTATGGCCGATGATACTGCCGGACGTATGTATAATTTATTTCGCATTTTTTGTGAAAATTTGTTTTTTGCTTGAGCATTGAATGATTTGGGAATGTGAATTCTGTGTGAGATTTTTTGCAATTGGAGATTTGATTTCGAGATAGAAGGATTTGAATTTGGGTTGTGAATTATTATCGTAAAAGATTGTTGCTTTTGTGATATTGAATGTTGAATATTATAGGAACGTGTAGATTGGTCCGTGGTTTTTTTTTTTTTTTTTTTTTTTTTTTTTTTTTTTTTTTTTTTTTTTTGTTTTTTTGGGAAAATGGATTGGATTTTTACATAATTTGGAATTTTGTGTCGTTTTTTTTTTTTTTTTTTTTTTTTGGTTATAGTGTATTAGGATATTAGAAAAGTTTAGCTTTAGACATAAAATGCAGAAGTGATTTTCTGATTTTAAATCGATATTTCGTTATGGATCTAAAATGGAGCCTGTTTTGTACATAATGTTGCTTTATGTTTATTTTATATGGAAATGATCGTTTCCTACTTATAATTAGGCTTGGTTACTGCTTACATGATCCTTGCATAAGATGAAATTAAATTGGAAAGCCTTAGCTTTAGTTTAGTAAATATCTATTTCATTTTGTAACTTTATCCAGTTTAGTTATGTAAATATGTAATAATATTGCGAAGTTTCGCCGTAGTGTTAATTTACTGTTTTGTATGATAAAATCAATTAATTATAGAAAATTTAAAAAATAAATAAATTCCTGTCTCAATATTCAAATTTGGGTTCATCTCAATATTTCGGGTAACTTTGGTATATAAGAAAACAATAATAATTAGAAACGTGAAGCTGTAAATATTTTGATTGGGGACTCCTAATTTAAGAGTAGTTTGAAATTTTATCTATCAGAAACACCCCCGCTTTTTTGATATTATCGAAGACACCCTTACATTTCAAAAATATCACTGACCTCCCTTATTTCTAATTTTGGATGTCATATACATCCCCTGACCTCTTTTAAGACTAATTAGTGATTAAGTATAAATGTTAATACCTAAATTGGCCTTGAGAACAATATATAAAACTTCATACCATCTATGCATTAATTTGTTCCTTTCATAAAGTTATCTTAGCCCTATTATTAAAACCAGTTACACTAGTTAGTATACTTTACCATTTATTTCATTAAGTTTAACAATGCGTATATTTCTTTATTTTTTCACTTTACCAATGAAATTATTTGTTGATTTAAGTTAATTATCCCATTGCAATTGTAACAAAGGGACTTTTGTTCTGAAACATTTTGGATACCACTACAATTGGATTATTCACTTAAATTGTAAATATGGATGGTTATAGGGTGGGGCAAGGAGGCCATGCCCATCCCTATCTTGTTGTGGATTTTGAGAGGAAAGGTTGGATTGGACGTAGATTAAAACATTTCTATTTACAGACCCATTTACATAATTTTTTATTTTTATATACGATTTAAATTGTAAAATATGAAAATAAAATAAAAAGATTTGGACAGTTTTAGGGAGTTTGAGGTATTCCTTGCCCCGTCCCGTTTACCATATAGGGTAGGGCAAAGCAGGAGGGTCTCAGGTGGAGAATTTTTCTGCCTCTAATGGTAAAGTGAAATAACGAAGAAAAATATGCGTTGTTAAACTTGACAAAATGGATGGTAAAGTTTACCAATTGCTAATATGTGTAACTAGTTTTGATAATAGGATATGACGTTATGGCCAAATTAATGCATAGATGGTTCATAGTTTTAATATTGTTGTCAAGGGAAATTTAGGTTTTAGCAATTTATATTTAATCACTAATTAGTGTTAAAGGGAAATTAATGCATAGATGATTTAAAGTTTTAAATATTGTTCTCTAGGGAAATTTAGGTTTTAGCAATTTATATTTAATCACTAAGTAGTATTAAAGGTGGTCATGGGGTGAAGATAATATTCAAAATTAGAAAATGGGAGGTTAGTGATATTTTTGAAACTTGAAGGGTGTGTCTGATATTTTCGGAAAGGTGAGGGGTATCTTTGATATGAATGCTATATGATGACGTGGTAGAGAAGAGTCAAACTGAGAAAGGTTTAGGTAGCGGTTGGTTTCCATTTTCATTTTCCATTTTTATTTTCAAAACGATTTTTAGTTTTCCTCGCAAACGGCCCGTTTTTCGCGTTTTGGCAATTCATAACTGAAAACACTCAAAATGATAAAAAGTCGTTTTACGTTTTCAGTTATAAATTTTAATTCGTTTTCGAAAACGACGGACCAAACGCGTTTTCCGCGTTTTCGAAAACAGAAAACGGAAAATGGCCCGAAAACGACAAACCAACCGCACCCTTAATATTCTGAGAAAGGAAAATACAAATTCATGTATAGAGTTTGTTCGTGGCATTTTGAGATTTCTAGAAGTTGAGTCTTGTGCCATCCAATTTTAGATTGGGTTTTGCAATTGATTTTTGACATTTTATGCAAGCTTAGGTTGGATACATGTTGTGTTATACTATCATATTAGAGTTTGTCATAATTCTGAAAAATTCACTATCTCCGGCTTTTCTATGTATTACAAGCTGACTTTGCCTAATTTTATTTGCAGGGAGAATTCCTTTTGCATTTCTGGAAGAAATTCACCAAAGATTTGTGAGGACATATGGCAGAGCTGTATTGTCTGCCCAAGCGTATGCCATGAATGATGAATTTTCAAGGGTATTGAGCCAACAAATGGAGTATTTCTCAAACGATCCTAATGCTGACAGAATAAACCGTCTAAAAGGTGAAATGAGTCAGGTGATATTCGACTTATCTTACAATTTTTCTGTTCATGGTTCTATTGAGCTGTCATTCAATTCCTTTTTACTTGTCTAGCTTTAGATCCACTTTTAGCTTTAGATTGTAGTCATGCTTCCAAATTGGAATTCGTTTACCAGAATCTTTGTTTTAGTAGCTTCTCATGGTTCAATACAATGCACTGTAGGATGCATTTGCAGCAAACATTTTTGCTATGATGGCAGAAATGTGATTGAGAAAATCCTTTCTGATAAATGCTCTCTCTAAAATCTATATGCATATTATGTGCTCTTTTTCAGGTTATTTGGGGTTGACGACAACTTTTGAAGTTCAATTTTACAGGTGCGCAATGTCATGATAGAGAATATTGATAAAGTTTTGGACAGAGGTGATCGTTTGGAGTTGCTGGTTGATAAAACAGCCACAATGCAAGACAACACTTTCCGCTTCAGGAAGCAGGCTCGACGTTTTAGAAGCACTGTATGGTGGAGAAATGTTAAGCTAATGTAAGTTACATCAATTCTGACAACTTGGAGATTTAAACTTTTACTTCAGATAGCTCCATTATCTACTTGGAGTCGATGAATGAAAGTTTGTTGCATAACTTCTATGTTGTAAGCTTAATGAAACAGAATTCAGGTTTGGATGATGAGTGATGACATAGTGGTTTATATCCCTTATGAAACAAATATATTTGCTACAGTAAGATTGTGATGTTGGGGACCTAATCAACTTCTTTGTTGCTGTTAAAATAATTTACACTTATTTCCAACTTCAACCTATCAAAAAACACTATTTATATTACTAGTTATGTATTATAATTTATAAGTACACATTTTCAGCTTAGCCAAAATGCTCTTAATTATTTGAGCTCCAACTTTCTGTTAATGTTGGGAAATAATCATGGAGTATTTGGAAATCCATTACCTCCTAATAAGTTTAAAGGTTCAGCTGATTCACCAGTGTCATTCAATATGCTAGCATAATTCAGTTGATTATTTCCTCAATTGTGTCTCCTGCCTTGCTAAAAAAATGTTATTTGATCGTCCGCAGGGTTGCGTTGATATTCCTACTCCTGGTTATAGTGTACGTTGTTTTGGCTTTTGTTTGTCATGGCCTTACTCTTCCAACTTGTCTGAAGTGAGGATCAACATCAAGTGGGATCTCCTTGCCTTTTCCGGTACTGTTTATTTGTTTAGTATATGTGCAATTCAACTACCTTAGATCTTCACGAGGAATGCTTTATCTTGTCTTGAAGAAACCTCGGAATTGTGTGTAACCTTTTTAGTGAAAAGTTGAGCTTGTTCAGCTTTTTTGTTTTTCGATTCCTAGTTTGAGAAGTTAAGATGCCTGAATTGTTCTCAGGGCCTCTTTTGTCTATCGAGATATTTTGGCACTGGGAAACAGAATAATTCTGTAATCAAATTGTGAAACGATTGTAATCGTCTCCTTATTTATTTGTGAAATTATTATGGTTTAATGTGAAATATATTTATTCATTGGTGGTTGTTACCATCGTCTTTACAATGAGATCAGACAGTGTGATGGCAAAAAAACTCGCCCCTTCCTGAACGGGTTAGCGGGGGCAAGGAGGGTTGCCCCGTCCCAAACCCGCCCTGTGAAGAGGAAAAAAAGATTAAAAATAATTTTATTTCTAAACAATTTACCCATTAAAAATTCATTTAAATTTATATTTTATTCTCTAATAATAACATAACTCAAAATTTTGAAACTGTCAAAAAATAGAAAATAAAAGAACTTAAATGGGACAAAAAGTTGTCCCGTCACAAACCCGCTCCATTACCATCCTTAATCATACTTTTAACTTTGAGAAAGTGAATCCACGAGTATTATTATAGGGTTTTTGAGTTAATGCTTGATAAGTTCAAGAAAAGTATTTTTAAAATATTTTGAATAGCTTATATATTTTCTATTGGATAAAATTATTTGTACAAAATTTGGTTAACAAAATGGTTTACTCACTCTCACATGCATGCGGGTTCCTCTTGCACTAAAAAATTCGGCCATGTGGTCCCTACCATTCTATTGTGAGAGTGTCTAAAACTTTTAGTACAAATATATTTGTACATGTAGTACAATCCTTTTCTATTTTTGAGTAAAATAATTTTTATTTTTTTTTTCAAATAGTTATTATCTTAGTATCAAATAAGTCATTTGTGTTTAGTTTTTACAAAATAAAAACTTGTTTATTTTAAAATTACTAATTTGATACGACTAAACCTTTGGTTGAACGTGCTCTTAGAAGGATGCGAGGGGGCTAAGAGGCTTAGGGTTTGTTTGTCATGCCTTTTAAGAAGTCAAAAGCAAATTTTGAGAACTAGAAGTTGTTTTAGGGTCGTTTGACTAATTTTATAGAAGTGCTTTAAATTAGAAGAGTTTTTAAAAGGAGTATGTTAAATATGATTTTCTTTAAAAGTACTTCTAGAATATGAAGCATTTTTAAAGTTGGTTTTCAAACAAAAATTAAGATAATATCCTTTAAAAATTCTTTACAAAAAGCAAAAACAAAAGTTATGTCAAAAGGCCCCTTAGCTTAGTTTAAGGGAATTAATGAATGCGTAACGGAGTAATTAAAAGATATGGTGCTCGAGAAATTATTGTTGAATATTTGTTCAAAATCAATGGAATGATAATGGATTAATTGTTGGACTCAATTGTGGAATTGGTAGAATCAAAAGAAATTGAAAAATGAAAAATTTGATTTTTGCTTATGTGTACGTACAAACTTATTTTTATGTGTACACAAGATGTACTTTTTCAAAATCAGAATTGATTTTGCTTCTACTATGCATATGCACGGTTTATACTATGCGTACGCATAGTGTTAAAAAAAGCCGTTGGCTGATTTTTCAATTTGAAACTTGGGAACCGTTTTGTATTAAAAGTTGCCACTTTTCATTTTGTTTTGGCACCATTTCGTGAAGTTTTGATTCATGGCTATAAATATGTGTTTGTTGGACATAAAAAAACACATGAAAATCAGATTACAAAACATAGGGTAATCTGTCATCATTCCATAAGAAAGAAAAATCCTGTCTTCCTCCACATTCATATATTCCCTTTATGTTCTTCAAGTTCAGGTGGAGAAATGCTTGTGCTTTTGTATTTCTCTACATCAAGGCTTGATCAATCCTTCAAACCGTTTGCCGCGAGATCCTTTAAGCACCAACATTAATACCAAGAGGGGGCAAATATCGTTTGAGAACAACGATGTAACGTCGTGTTTGAGCCTTCCATTTTCGTCATGATCTTGATTCGTTTTTTCATCCTCTTGATTAATTTTCTGCATTGTTTCTTCTCCAACCCCGGTGTTGAATAATTTCCCAACAATCTCAAACGATATTTCGATGGAGAACGGAATCGCTTTGACAGAGATCAAGTTGATGACATGATATCGTGGTTGAAACATTTGATGGGGCGAACTTCATATGAAGGCAAGTATGAATTGAAGTTTATTCTAAAGGCGTTGAAAATTCTCCACATTTTAAAGCCGGATTTGGCAATGCAACCGGAATTACACTTGCTTGGCGAGAAAATCTGAAAAGGTTTGAAAAGAAATATTTTCATTGGAAAATGAAAAGATAAAATTCGTCGTAATGCATTCAGATCTGGTAAGTATCATTCTATGTTCTCAAATTCCACTTTATGTTCGATCATCTCACGTGCAAAAGGTATATTTTGTGAATTTTATATGCACAATTATCCATGTCATATCCAATGATTTTAAGGAGAATTTTGATTGTGCATAAATAATTGCATGTGTTCATAAGAACAATTGTGAAAGTGGAAATACGAATAAGCAGAAACCACGTGCGTATGTTTCAACTGCATATTATATTCCAATAATTGGTATGTGTATGCATAATTTCTGTCCGAAATTAGATGTTTAAGTGATGAATACGGTTTCAGTAATAACGAAGTCGGATTATATATCTATAATCGTCAGTGGCATGCCGCATGTGTATTTGAATTCGACAAGATCTGTTCTATATGGCTTGAATATTTTATATATTAAAATAATTATGTCTGAAATGAGGAGGAAAAGGTGGTGTGTGACTATGTCATCCATATGTTTGTATATGATAAAAGAGTATTATATATGCATGGCAGTCAGTAGTTGTTAAAAGTAAGACAATCAGGTAGTTTCCTATCCTGGAATCCATGTTGGAAATTAAATTTTTGATTGAGAAGGAATCTGATTGTCCTATCCAACCATTCCTGATTGGAGTCTTATCTATTACATAATTATACTCCTCTTTTCACATTAAAACAAATTGTTCATTTCTGAAATGGTGCGATCCGTTCGGAGCTGTGTAGCATAAATTTATTTGTATGAAATGGCATGTGGTTAACTGTCTTCAACTGATTCTGTAAACAGACATGAGTATGTATGTTCCTTCATGCTAAAACCATTGTGTATGTGAATAGGTGTTTACATATTGAAAAGGTGTATGTGTATTTAAAACTAAATTATTAACTGTAACCAATTAAACCGTATGATCCTTTAATAGTTTAAAGCTTTGTGACTTTAAACATACTGGTTCATTGTTGTACCTTTTGATAAATTCACCAATTGGAGTATGCATATGTTTATTTTATACAAAGTGCATATGCATGAAGAAAATTGCATGTTGGTTGAAGAATATTTGAAATAAATTATTCATACATGTTCACGTGAGGATGCACACCCATATGGTTAAGTTGTTGAAGTTTGATATGCATGATATATTATTGAAATGAAATTCAAAACATTGCATATGTTACATATGGGAAAGAAAATTTTCAACTGTTAGAATTTTATGTGAACTTTTGTGACCATTTCTCTACGAGAAAATTAAAATTGACATGATAAATTTGTTTGATTGATTTCATGTCTTGTTGAACTCATGCTAACTTGAGTTAATGTGGATAGCCTCATTTAATTCTATAGAAATTAAGTGAGATGATTATATGTCAATTATATTTGCATAAAAGCATGACAAATTGTGTTTTGTCTTAATTTATTTTAAAGCAGAAGATGCTTGCGCATCTATTGAGAAATGGAAATATTTTAGAGCACAAATAGTGTTTGTATATTAGCATGACAAAATTTATAATATGCTCTAAATGACATTCTTGTATAAAGAATATTGTGGAAATCAATTTTGATTAATTAATTATTCTCACTTTGCCGTGACAATTGGGAATGACTCTTATGCATGACATTTTAAAGAATGCAATTTAAACCAATTGTGGTGGCTAAAGATCTACTTGATCATGGTTGTTATTCGGTGAGTAATTCCAATATATGGGCTGTCACATTTGCTTGGATAAAACACGAACCCACTTGGATAGCCCGCATGTTTTTGTAGGGCATCATTTGTTGCACGGTACATTTGCCATTATGTTGGTTTATGGATTTCGAAGTGCAAGGAAAACATATCCATATTTGTGTTTTGAGATCAGCGTATTAATCTTTAATGGTTCTAAAGGATGTGTAAGGATGCCTACTATTTGTTGGAAGTACATTGTGAATTAATGATAACTATATGAAAGTATGTAGCCTTTCATGGTTATTATTGAAGTGATAAGAAAATTGAACTACAAAAGAGTTAATGAACTCTAAGTTCAATTACAATCCCAAATGTGGGGGTTGACATATTAAGGACTCTAAATTCAAGTATAACCCGAAATGTGGGGGTTAACATTAATCTTATGAACTTTTACGAGAAGCTCAAAGATATATGGATGCAACATTACAAGATTGCATAAGAATTCCTAATTAAGGAATTGGGGGTTAACTTAATTTAAAAGTTATCGTATCCTTTACCTTTTAATCATAGAAATACATCTATGATGGAGAAATGTAGAGAAGGCCTTGTGAGGATGAAATACACTAAGTTTAAAGTAGATTAAATGGGTAAAGGCCGATTGTGGCGCTTGCAAAACCAATGAAATATTATATATCTATATCTATATATATATATATATATATAGACACACACATACATACATACTTGGGTATTCTATTTTCATCATTGAAATATTACAATGATCTTCAATGAATAAAAGTGATTGACTAGTGTAATGATTTGATGAAAATCTTCCAATGATATTTTGGAATTCAATAAGGCTTCAAATAAAGCGAGTGAGAAGTATGTGGCTTCTTAATGGTGACAAGTTGTATCTATCAAATGGATCAATCGTTGGCTAGCTGTATTTTGATAAGATACTAAGTCACATAAAATGAGAAGTAAAGACATATAAGTCTTAGAGGTGACGTCACAAGGAAATTATCAAAGATGGAATAATTTATGTAAAGACGTAGCGGATCCTTTAATTAGATCACTAAATAAAATTTTAGTGGCATCTACTTCGAGTAGGATGGGGTTGAAACTCCTAAACTATAAAGGTCCACCAATGATAGCAACCCTACCCGTCATTACTCAAAAGGTAATCCATGGGTTCAAATGGTAACAACAAGTCATTCGATATGTGG